CAACCGCAACCACAACCGCAACCGCAACCGCATTCGCAACCAACCAACCAACCAACCAACCAACCAACCAACCAACCGACCGACCGACCGGCAGACCAACCAAGCGAACAACAACCCTATTCGAGCCATAAGGCCCCAAGATTAAGACCGAAGCCGCAACATCTCACCTGATGCTTGAACGTCTACACGGTTTTGAACTTAATTCGGGTTGTTTAGGCTCAGGCTTTAGGATTTATGTTTCAGAAACGTTCAAGGTTCGGGTTTCTGGTTGTCACCCTAAATGCCCGAACGATCCACAACAAGGGGCCACCTGTGTCGGCGGCGCGCCATACATGGTACCAGGGGCCATCTGCATTGCGCCCTGCATTATGGCGGCCCGCGGAACGAATCATGTACTAACTCCAGCACGCTGATTCTGAACTGCCGGCGTGAGTTTACAGGTCTTGGGCTTGGGCTCAGGCTATTGAGCCATCATAGCGCCCCAAACGCTGGAGTTTCCGGGTTGACCGTTCCAAACCCCATGAAGCACGCATGAACGGCATAGAGCCCTTTTATAACCATATAGTGGTCTTATAATAAGACCCTACCAGCGAAGTCGCAGTGCGCAATGGAAGGGGTCGATTGGGAGGTTAATTGGTCTTTCTGGCTAGGTCTGTTGGATGTACGGGTTAGTTAGTTTACGGTCAATGCATAGCCTCAGATGTCTAGTTTAAAGTTAAGACGTCTGGAAGCATGCAAGTAGTGCGGGCTCCTCAAGCAAATGCATACCGAGATTGATGACCCTAAACCCTAAAAAGGTAGATATCGAATGGCGCTGCCAAATTGTCCACGACCTGGAGCTCAATCTGAAGTTCGACAAGACGACTTTGCTCAGAAGACTGGCTTCCTCAGGTCACCCCTAACCCCAAACCCCAGATGCTGATCCCTACGACTACGTACTGCTAGGGTTGCTGTTACTGCGACTGCTACTGCTGCTGCTGCTGCTGCTGCTGCTGCTGCGTCTGCTGTTACTACTACTACTACTACTACTACTACTACTACTACTACTACTGCTACTGCTACTGCTACTGCTACTGCTACTGCTACTACAACAACTACTACTACTACTACTACTACTACTACTACTGCTCCTAGTACTAGTGCTAGTACTACAACTACTACTACTACTACTACTACTACTACTACTGCTACTGCTACTGCTACTGCTACTGCTACTGCTACTACTACTACTACTACTACTACTACTACTACTCCTACTCCTAGTACTAGTGCTAGTACTACTACTACTACTACTACTACTACTACTACCACCGCCATAGAACGAAAACCAACCTGAGGAAAAGGTAGAAGAGCAACATGAAATGCCCCAGAACAGGCTTCTAACGTCTCCTCCCCCCACCCCATCCCAACAGGTGCCTGAGCCGGAGCAGTGATGGGAGGAAGGTAGACTGCATCACCGATTGTTGTCATCATCGCGGCCTGAGGTTTAGGGCCAGGGGCCAAGGGTCTCTCGCATTTAGAGTTTATGCTACAGGCTAAATGGGGGTGTAGTTTAAGCCGCTTTCCGTGCACAACCACCCGGCCGACAAGAAGCAACGCGTCGGTTAGAGCGTATTGCCTAGCAAACATGCCCACAGCAGCTTAAGCACTAAACCAAACTATTGTTCGAAGGCAGTCACAATCAAACCATAAACCCTTTTCTCTGACCGCTTTAGAAACCCCCTTATCACCCTTGATAACCCCAGCGACACCCCCCAACCAGCAGCCTGAGTAGGAGGGGCCGCGAAGATGGCTCCCTGCGGTGGCATGGCGCCCATAGTCTGCGGAGCGCCCTTTCCAGGTGCAATTTAATGTCTCCTAAACCCTTCACCATCGGTTAACGGTGGTGGGTTGAAGCCGGCTTGAGACAGGCCCCTGAAGTTTAGAAGAACGAAAACCCGACAAATCTACTCTCCAGTGTGTATCTGTCTCTGTTTGAATCTGATCTCGTTTGTGTCTGCCTCCACGCCCTCCCCCTCCCACTCTCGCCCCCTCTCTCCATCAAACGGATTCCGTTGTCTATGTCGTGCCTATTTCGACCGAAATAAGGGTCCAGGAATCGCATGTGAGGGCCAACTGCATTTGTGCGGGGCACCTCGGCAGGAGCCGTGACAGGAGGCAAGTAGACCGGCTCGCCAATCGTGGTTGTGGTAGGAACCGCCTGTGGTAGAAGGCGAGAACAAAAGAACAGAAAAGACAGCGAAAAACAAAGACAGAACGAGAGAGAGAGAGGGAGATCGAAAGACAGATTGCTAGATAGGTCTACATCTACATCTACATCTATATGTACATATGTATATACATATATACATATAATGAAACAGAGAGTGAGAGACAAGCGAGACAGAACGAGAGAGAGGGACAGAGAAACAAAGATAATTGGCTTGTCAACGCGCAGAAGACCTGATGCTTGGCTCGCCCGAACCCTGACCTGAGCCGGGGCTGCAAAGATAGCGCCCTGCGGCGGCATGGTGCCGATGGTCTGCGGGGCGCCCTGCACGGGTGTGCAGCTTCAACCAGAACTGCCATGTGAACACCTGGACAGTCCGCTGGTGCCTCTGCAGGAGCTGTGACAGGTGGGAGGTAAACCGGCTCTCCAATCGTTGTGGTGGTCGGAACCTGCCGTGAGAGAGAGAGAGAGCAGGGACAAGGGGAAAGGGGCGCCACGCGGACAGAGAAGTTCTAACATGTGCATTTGCGGTACGCAGGCCTGGCGCATGCCAACATGCTTGTGTCTACCTACCCACCTTCCTAACTTTCTGCTCCTGGCTGAAGCCTTACTGCCCTAGCCAGCTGCTAGCTAGCTGCCTGGTCGGCTAGCTGGCCATCTACCTGCTAGGTACTATCTATCTATCTATCTATCTATCTATCCACCTATTTATCTATCTATCTATCTATCTATCGATCTATCTATCTATTATGCAGTTATCTATCCATCTTTCTATCTACATATTGAGCGCTGCTGCCCAAAGGGGTTAGGACGGTTAGGAGATGTCTCAACTTTCCCCTGACCCCAGCCTGAGTGGCAGGGGCTGCAAAGATAGCGCCCTGCGGCGGCATGGTGCCGATGGTCTGCGGTGCAGCCTGTGCAGCTTGCACGTTTAAGCAAGATTGCCGGGACGCCGATCATGCCTCCGCCGGAGCCGTGATAGGAGGAAGGTAGACCGGCTCGCCAATCGTTGTGGTGGTCGGAACCTGTCAGAAGAAGGAGGGAGGAAAATTGGAGAGACGCGTTTGTATACATTTCTGTATCAGTATCTACATATACTTATATGCACTTACATATGTATGTACATGTACATAAACCTCTGTATGCATATGCAAAACATGTGCGTATGTGTGCGTCCGTGTGTGTGTGTGTGTGTGTGCGTGCGTGTGTGTGTGTGTGTGTGTCTGTGTGTGTGTGCGTGCGTGCGTGTGTGCGTGCATCTACGTTTATACATATATATATATATATATATATAGAGGTATGTATGTATGTATGTATGTATGTAAATACATATGCATGCGTGTGTGCACGCATTTGTGTCTACTGTATGCAACTGTGTATGCATAGCTCGAGATATATATATATATATGTATATATATACATATGTACGTACATACATATATATATATATGTATATATACATATGTACGTACATACATATATATATATATACATATGTATGTACACATATGTATATATAGATACATGAAAATACACGTAACAGCTGATGCACTAGGCATTATATACGTAAGATAACTTTCTACATTATATATTACACATTATAAGACATACATATATATATATATATATATTGTATAATATGAAACGTATAATATAAACTGTGACACAGAATGCACACCGCACATTACACATCACACAAATCACACATCACATATCCCACATTATATACTACATGTTATATAGTATACGCTATATATATACACTATCATATATTATACGATATGTATAATGTGTCATATCATACATATATTAGGTACTGATTGTAAGCTGTATATAATCTTGTGTATGTTTTATACATTGTAAATCGAATACTAACTACTCTATATATATATGTATAGTTTATAAACTATATAGCACAGTAAATAACATTACCTAAAAACTATTTAACATATGTTACAAAATGATTATATACTTTACTATAAGATATATATATATATGTATATTGAGTATTTATTCGTATTTATTTGCCTATATTATGAAACATATATTACATAATAAATGTGCAGACACTATAACTATACATATATGTATGTATGTGCATATATTTATATATATAACGCTATATATCATGTTTATTTTATATAGCATATATTAAGTACTATGCGGCATATGAGTATACATACTATTTGTATAAATACATGTGTATATATAATATTCTCAGCAGTATACATTAGATAACATCTCTTGTGTATAATATAATGTATTTCATATTTTATATACAGTATATGTCATATTCTATATGCTGTATGGTATATATCATATTATACAAATGCTATATGTGGCTTCCATATCATGTAATACATAATATGTGTACACTTTACCTAATATACAATGTCGTAAATACACCTTGTTTTTATATAGTATACATTACATATCATATGTTTCTGGTATACATTACACGTAATAGTGTCAGACACTAATTCGTTTTTGCGGGGGTGGCAGGGTAGGTAGGAGTAGATACCGTGGCCATTTTGGCTCAAGGTACACGCTGCGTCTAGATAAGAATGTGGTTCAGAACGTTAGTCTACCCCAACTACTCAGCCGGCAAAACCAAAGGCAATGGAAAATGAGAACCTTAGGGCAGGCTACGCTCGCGGGATGGGTTTCTCATACCAGGATTTCACTGTCTATTAATACTATATCATATATTAACCTGTTCTCGGCTAAGAACACAGACATCGCCTCTGAGAAAAACGCAAGCGTGTTCGTGTGTATACCAATATACATGTGAACACATATGTTTGCATATGCTGCCGTGTACCTACTGGCCTCTGCTGCTTGATCCAGGCGTGACAGCATTCACTAGTTCAATAGTTGATGGAATTGCTGTCGGTACATGTCAACGTGCTCGTGCTATTCGCGTACCTTGATCGTGCATGAACTGTAAACAAGCTTTTCTTCAACCAACTTTTGACTTTCACATTTGCATGTATGCTCAATTTCTGTGCGACTCTACTTCTTTCTCTTCACGAGGAGAGATCTGTCAGCGCATGAGCCTATGCTTAGCCGAAGTTCCAAACCTGAGCAGCAGGGGCTGCGAAGACAGCGCCCTGGGGCGGCATGGTGCTGATGGTCTGAGGAGCGGCCTGTCCAGCTCATTGTTATGTGTGTAGAAGTAATATATATATATATATATATATATACGTAATAAATCTACATATGTAATATATAATATCTAATATATAATATATAATATGTTATATATATATATATATTATATTATATTATACATATATGTATATCATACATACGTATATAACAGTATACACGTAAATACATATGTATCTACTATCTTGTTTTATAGTTCCCCGTCGATATATTATGTATTCGTTCTCAGGCAGCACGAGCTTGGCGACCCAAGACATGCCTCGGCCGGAGCCGTGATGGGTGGGAGGTAGACCGGCTCGCCAACCGTCGTGGTAGCCGGGGCCTGAAACGGTTTAGGGTTTAGGGTAAGGGCGCAGGGGCTACGGCAAGCCATACACAAACAAACGCAAATGAAGAGGGTTTCAAGGGCAGACAGCAGTGTGCTTATGGAAGGAAACAACTCTACAAACTTCGGGGATTGTCTTGAGATCCCACCCCGGCCTGCATCATTGGAGCTGCGAAGACGGCTCCAGGAGGGGGCTGGCTTGCCTGGCAAACTAACTCTTCGGGCAAACAAGCTCTTCGCACATTGGGACATGCCGGGAAGCTACATAATTACAAATGTATAAAGAACATATGAGTATATGTGCATGTACAGACACGTAGATACATGGATATATATATATATATACATACATTTATTTATTCATTTATTTGCTTATTTACTGATATTTATATACACACACATACATACACATGCACATGCTCATGCTGGCTGCATCGGACTGCACATGCACATACAGGTGCACGCAGACGCAGACACAGTCGCAAAAGCACACACATACATACACGTACACGTACACAAATACAAACACATAGGCATATGCAAATGCAAAAACTCGCAAATGTACATTGTTGTGCATACATACATACATACATACATACATACATACATACATACATACATACATACATTACATACATACGTATATATATATATATATATGTAAGTACAGAAATACACACATACACGAATATATGCATATACAATCATATACAAACACACACACATGCATGTGCGCAGACATGTGTACAGATTCTATATTGCTTGTATTCGGATGTGCATGCATACACCATGCTAACAACTCACTCTTAGTAGCAAGTGTCGTAGTGGCAGTAGTGTAAACCTCAGAGTTGCCGCCGTCAGGTGTCCTATGCAAAAAATGGCACCTCAGAGACCACTGTCATAGGAGCCGCCTGCACATCGAAGCTGCGTGTGCTGGGCGTAGGGTTGAGCCAGGTGTGTTTGGGGGATTCATAGCGGAGATGTTCATAGTGCGAGCACAATCGTGGCTTTAACGCAGAGTGGCATAGTGGCTGCAGCGTGTTAACAGGGTTCCTGCCGGGAAATATAATGCCCCTGTCCTAATTCTGTTTAAATGTATTGGTAGGTGCTAGCTGCTGCGGGACATTCCGGACCGGTTCGGGGCGAGGCTTCTATGCCCCGGACCAATCTTTAACCTGAGCAGACATGGCTTGTAGTCAGGCTGCTGAGGATGTCGAGGCTTCAATGCTCGGGTTCACCGGAGTCTCGTGAATTAAGAAATATCAGACTAGGAGATACGTGGCAACATAGTAGAAGACATGTTTCATTCTGCTTATGGCAGCCGAAATCAGGTTCGAGAAAGAGAAGCAAGTTTGAAGTTGAAGACCCGGTGGTACACGCAGACCAGCCTCGGATGTGATGGGAGGCAGGTAGACAGGCTCGCCGACGGTGGTCGTCGTGGGCACCTCCCAACTTCCAACCATTGTTCCAGACGTTTTGTCCAAGCACGTTTTAGGGTTCAAGGCTTTTGGCCCCCGCCACCCCGTTCTGCCTCTTCACCCCCACTGCCCCTGCTTTCAACTGCATGCAATGGCGTCTTCCGTTTAGTTCTAGAATCAGTCTAGAGCTGAACATAACGACGTCTTCGCGGATTTACGGCTCAAGAATCAGGGAGCCAAGGCCCCAACCCCCAACCCCTGAACCTTAAACCCTGCCTCATGTTCAGACCCTTCCATGCGCTTTAAGCTAGAAGGCCCCGGAATCGCAAACCGCATCAATAACCATAACATAACAATACTTTGAGTAGTAGTAATCATAATTGTAGAAAATCTAACAGTAATAATAATAATAGTAATGACAACAATAATAACACGCCAACCTTCGACTGTTTATATTGGGAACCTTGTATGGGAACCCCCCGTGAGTTGCCTGTGGCGCGTCCGTGACCTGCTTGCAAGCTACGGGCTCGAACTTTGAGCAGCTTTGGATTGTTTTAAGATCAGGGTTTGGAGTTTCTCTAGTGAGGTTTAGGGTTTAGGGGTTTAGGGCTTATGGCCCTGTACTGGAGGGCTTCATAGATTCGGATCTGAGCCTTGGAAGTTTGAGTTTGAGGTTGAAGACTTCGGGTGCTGAGCGGAGGGTCCAAGGTTAGGGCTTCCAGTGTTATACTTTGATGATAAAAAAAATAATAACAATAATAGTAATAATAGGGAGCCCCCTAAACCCTAAACCCTAAACCCCAAAATAGTATTGGTAATTATTTAGGCCCCTACAGGATACGGATTTAGAGGCTTAAGACCTAAGGTCTGGGGTGTAGGGCTTGACCCTATATGCAGGGTTTAGGGGTTTAGGGTGTAGGGTTTAAGGGTTAAGGTTTTAGGGTTTGAAGGTTTACGGGTTTAAGGTTTAAGCTTTAAGGGTTTAGGGTTTAAGGGTTTAGGGTGGAGGGCTTAAGGATTGAGGCTCAGGCCTCTAGGGCGTCACTTGACACCTCATGGGTACGGCCTCTGCCGGGATCTTGGGTCGGAGTTTTTTCGGTTACGGTTAGGGTTTAGGGTTCAGGGTTTCGGTCTAGGGTTTAACTTAGCATGCAAGGTTTAGAGTTTAGGCAGGGTTCACGGTCACGACTGTGCGGCTTTCTGCTGATCCTTTCGCTGCTCTGCACCTCATCACAACTTATGAACTCTGTAGTAATGATCATTCCATGTAACGATCGCAGCGGATGATATTCTGAATGGTTGGGGATCCTTATCATGAGGGCCGTCAATTAAGCGAGGAGCTAGCCAACTACTCCACGACCCTGTGCCCTAAATTAACACGTAAACGGCCTAAACCCTCACCAAAACCTGCCAAACCATAAACCGTATTCTCAACAACATTAAAGCCCTCAAAAGCTGAAGCCCAAAGCTCCCAAAGACACCAAGCAACTCTTAATCGAACTGGCCTTCATCGAGTTTGTTTCGGTTTTACAGGATTTTTTGGACTAGTGTGCTTAGGGAGGGTGCACAAGATCTTGTGGTTGGCCTTGCGTTTGGCTTGTGGGCCCCACAACTGAGCCCTAAGCCCTAAACCCCTAAAATGTTAAACCACGATCGCCCTTATAGTAACCTTTCTACTACTACTCCTTATAGGAACCCTAATAAATTCCTGTAAAGGAGCCCTGAACCTCGAATGCTTTAACAACTAGAATAGGATTTTTGGGTACATTATACTCTAATTAAAATAATTATAGTAGTATGTACCCCGGTTTAATGAGGATACCCCAAAATAGATTGGTAATTAGCAATGCCCCTACGTAAGTTGGGGCTCGCCTGGCCCTGGACAACCTCCATCGGGTGATCCGGGCCAG